CTAGATTATACTAAGAGTTTTTTTATATCTTAAGTAAGTTACTTATAATACTTTATTAGCTCTAGCTTAAAAGTTCTTTCTAAAGTTGCTTATATAATTTTATTTTATTTATATAAATAAAATATAGTAAGAATATTATTAAGCTTTTATTTATTTTAATAAATTAAAACTAAACTAAAACTACTATAAATCTAGTTTTAAAACTTATATATATATCTTTAATTATATACTATAGAATTTAACTATAGTTAGTAAGACTAGTAATAACTATATATATATAGAAATAAGCAGCCTTTATAAAGTAGCTAGCTTAAGTACTAGTTATATAGCTTTATAGCTATTTAAAGTAATAAATATATTAAATATAACTACTAGATATTACTATAATAAATATATATAAATTACTTCTAAACTATTTTAAGACTAAATTAAGCTAAAATAATAAATAATTTATAATTTCTTTACTAAATATATCTTAGAGAAATATATCTTTAATTTATTTATAAAATAACTTAAGCAACTAATTTAAAGAAATAAAATATAAAAGCTAAGTAAAAAAGTAAAGTTAAAAAAAGTAAAGTTAAAAAAAGTAAAGTAAAAAAAGCAAGTAAAGAAAAAAAATAAAGGAAAAAAAATAAAAAAAATAAAAGAAAAATAAAAAATAAAAGAAAAATAAAAAATAAAAAATAAACTAACTAAACTAATTAAACTAATAAAAATATTTCTAAACTTTATAAAACTAGTTAAGGCAAGAAGAAAAGTATTTTATAGCTATTAGTATAAATTATTTCCAATTTAATTTTAATTTTAACTAACTTACTATATAAAATAAATATATAAATATTATAAGCTATATTAAGTCTTTAGAAACCTACTATATAGTATATCTTAGTAATTATAAAAAGGCTATCTTTATAGTATAGCAGCTATATAGTAAAGAGTATATTATTTAGTAATATACTAAGTAAATTCTATTAGCTAGAATTAGTTCTTAACTAGTTTATAATTATTTAGTAAGTAGTTTATACTATTTCTATATCTTTATTTTTATTCTTAACTTTATTCTTATTTTTATCTTTATTTTTATTCTTCTTATTCTTAGAAAGAGAGAGAGAGGGGGAGGAGCTTAAAGGCAGAAGCAGAGGCAATAACAATACTAATAATAATAATAATAATTATAGCAGTAGCAGTAGTAATAGCAATAATAATAATAATAACAGTAAGAGTAAGAGCAGAGGCAAGAGTAAGAGCAAGAGTAAGAGCAATTAAGCAGGCAGCTTAGTAGTATTTTATTAAAATTAGTCTTAATCTCTTTTCTAATTACTTTATAAGTAGTTTAAGCAGTATATATACTATTCTTAGTTAGCAGTATATAGTAGCTTCTGCTTTAGCATTAGCAGCTGCAGCTTTATTATATATAGTTTAAACTATAGTATTAGCAGCAGCAATAGCAGCAGCAGTTAGCAGTATAAAAGTAGAAATAGAAATTGCCTTAGAAGGCATTATGCCTTACTATATAAGCTTATATAGTATTTATAATAGTACTTAGCTGTTAATATAGTCTAGATATTATTCTGTATAAAATAAATATTAATTATTATATAACTAGTTTTAAACTATTTTCTATAGTAACTTATAAGCTAAGTTATTATTTAATTACTTTTTATTATCTCTAAAGTAGTACTTCTCTAAGTTAATTTTATAAAATTAAATATAATAGTTTTAAAGTAATAACTTAATTATATATTACTATATTTATAAGAAATAAATAAGAATTAATTTATATATATATCTAGTTAGTATTATACTTAATTATATAGTATACTATTTACTTTAAAATAGTAGAATAGTTCCCTAGGGAATAAAATTAGCTAGCTATCCTAGAATTATTTCTAAGTTAGTTCTAATTATTACTTTTATTATTTCTACTAAAGAAGACTTATAGCATTAAATTTTAACTTAAAGATAAGCTTATTAGCAAGTTGCTTCTTTAAGTTTAAGTATTACTAGTATTATAATAATAACTTATATCTATAAGATATTTTTTTTTAAGTAGTATAAACTAGTTTACTACAGTAAATCGGCAGAATGCAAATTAGGAAAATTGTAGTAGCAGCATTTGCAGATGCGAGCTAATGTGCGACTGTAGCCCCAGCGCAATTTTCCTTCGACCCGCCTTAGTGGCTGCTCTTGAAGAGCCCAGAGTACTAGCCTAGTAGATATAATTCGTAGATAGAGGCATATAAACCCCGCCTGAATACTTTTCTAAGTGTTCTAGAAGGAGAGGAGGACAAGAAGAAGATGCAAAGTCCATCGTCCCATACGAGAGACACAGGGATGCCCCTTTCACAATTAATAAGAAAGAGCTGGGAGAGTAAAACGTGGACAATTAGTTGTGCAGCTAGAAACAGCTGGGCTTTTAACTTTATATTTTGGAGGTACTTAGACTGCGCCTATTTTGGGCAAAATAAGGGTGGATATTATCAAAGGAGACTTGACCTACTTTCGAGAGAGGAAATGGAGGCGATGGAAGCTTTGGTGAAGATAAAAATGGAGGAAAGTGCGGACAGGACACTCATTCAGTGGGACCATGATAGTGCCGTGGCCCAGATGGCCAAGGTCATGGTTTGAGCCTGGTTCAGCGGTGGACTGTGCAGGCCACTCGAAGATGAAAGTAGTCACTGAATTATAGCGAGAGGCCATTCACCGCTAAGTTTTTATAAATATTTCAATCTGCCAACATGGCTCGCTCATGAGAACTATGAGGCTGCTCTAGGGTGACCGACTACGACGGCGAGAGAGTCATTGACCATATGCGCGGTTTGGGTTTGATTGGGCTCCGTCTCAGAAACAGTGGTAAGAATCGGAAGGAGATGTTCTATCATACCCGAGAATGAGAAACGGTCGTAGCGCCGTGACCTTCGCAACCCTAGCACAGCTATTACCTCCACAGATCCCGGGTCGCTTCCGCTCCTTTGTCTACATTCCTGGCGGCAGTACTGTAGAAAGATGCTCGCTTGTGCAGTTATATTGACAGCTTTTTAGAGTAATTAATATAATACTTGGAAGAATCTATTTTACAATTAAAAGTATCTATGTACATTAACTATAAAACTTTTATTGAGAGATCTTAATAAAGTATAGAGAAATTTATAAAGCTTTATATATAGCTAGAATTTCTTATAATAAAGATATATATTTATATTAGTCACCCTAGATAGCTATAAAGCTATATAACTAGTACATCTTCTTCTTATATCAGACTTGGAAAACCCTCTAATGGGAAGAAAAACCCTGCCTGCTTCTACTTTTGCTTCTCGGGCCGGCTCCGGCTCTATGCCGGCCGGGGTCCGCCCGTCTCCTGCGCGTGCGTAATTGTCGCCGGCTTCGCCGGCTGTGTTCCAGAGGGGCAATATAATAAAGATAAGAAATATAAAGAGATAATTTATAGTAGATATTTAATATTTAAAGTATAAAGTTAAATATATTAAAATATCTTATAATAACTAGAATTAAAAGATATTAGCTAATAGTATTAATAAGTTAATTAGAGAGAAAATAACTATAAAAGTTATAGACTTAATTCAAGACTAACAGAAATAATAATAAAATAAAGAAATTAAAAGAGAGATTAAATTAAGGTATTTGTAAAGTAATAACTAGACTAACTTACTTAATGTGATGGACTGGCCCTATTGGGCCATAGCGGGTGCCAGCCGCAGTCATCCCAGCGATGCTGGAGCCCTTGACCGAGTCAAAAGCAAAAGGGTACGTATTGAACAAGCTGCCTACAGCTTGCTCAATCTGGCACTATATAGGTCGCGGCACGGGCTTATGTCCCCAATCCAGTCATCTATACGTGCAGTGCCTATTGCATCCATTGCATCGCATCTTTAAGGTCGAGCATAGCTCAGACCATGACACTTAATTAAGTAAAAAGTATACAAAGAGAGAATAGTAATTTAATAGTAAATTAAAACTTAAATATAAGTGTAATTAGTTATACTAAGTATAGACTAATTAGACTTAGAATCTACTATATATTGGTTAAATTTAGAATAGAAATATTAAGAACTAGCCTTCTAGGCAACTATATATAAGTATTACTAGTATTAACTATAAACTTAAGGAGAAAGAAGAAAAAGGGGGAAGTTCTCTATTCTCTCCTTTTATACTATTATATATATATAAGTCTAATATATATCTAATAAGTATCTAAAAAGTATCTAATAAGGCACTAATATAGTGCCTTGTGTATACTCGAGCCTACGGCTCGAGTCCATTACAAGAAATAGTAATAGCTTTAATAGCAGTAACACTTAGTTACACTATAGGAAGTTAATAATATTCAACAACAAGGACGTCGACGCAAAATTAGCGGCAGATGTCACGTGATGTGACTACACATAAGTAGCTTTCATTAGCTTAGCTTGATAGAGAATCAACCAACTTCACGCACACATCCTCACAAAGAACCAAAATTCACGTACCAGCCGTCAGGGAGCCCATCGAAAAGTCGTCGCACCGTGCCAGAGCTAGCGGTTGCCCCTTGCAATCAGTCGTCCACCAGTGACCACAACAAGCTCGCAAGTCGGAGCAGCGAGCCCCCCTCCGAAAAGGGCGCCCAACTCGATCAAGTCCGAAATCCCCGTGCTGTCATCCAGGGAACCCTCCCTTGGCAATGAAAGCTTTGATTGATTTTCTTGCTTCTTCCCTCCTCTGCCGCCAGGCCGCCTAGACAGGCCCAGTCAAGCGAGCAATGTCGTCATCAGCCAACCCCGACGAGGCAAACCACCAGTCGCCCGAGACGCAGGAGAAGCCGAGTGCCGTCTTCGCGCCATCACCCGCCAACGAGCAACGCGAGGTAGTGACGCCCGCCCTGGAAGAGGACAACATTCCCACGACGAGCAACTGGGAGATCCGATCATGGTACCTCTACACGTCGGGGCCAACGGGCTCTCGCTCTTCAACTTTGGCCCGACGGCCTTTCAGAACCTTCTCGACGAGGCAGCCGGCAAGTCGGGGCTGCTTCACTTCGCCGGGCGCAAGCGCGACGTCAACAGCATCGTGCTGCTGGCCAACGGCGTGTCGTTTGCCCTGCAGGCGGCGCTGTTTCTCGTCATCGGCGCCTACGCCGACTTTGGCACCGGCCGGCGCTGGGTCCTCCTTGCCTCGTCCCTCGTCGCCTACGCCGTCGGCTTCGGCTGGCTGGGGGTTCACGACGCCGACAAGTGGACAGTCGGCGTCGGCCTATACATTGCCGGCCTAGTTGCCTACCAGCTCACCCTGACCTACTGGACTGCGGCCTTTCCCTCCCTCGCCCGCAACACGGCCCGTCTCAAGGCGTCGCGTGCGGCGTGTGCGCGCCGTCAGATCGCCCAGCAGGAGCTGGACGCGCGGGATGAATTGGAACGAAGCAGACTCAGCAACGTTGCCTTTTGGATACAGTCTTGCGGCGAGATTGTCATCCTTACCGTCGTCGTGGGCATCATGTTTGCCGTGCGAGTTGACGACGGCCCTTCCAGCAATAACTGGGGCCTCTCTGTTCTGATAGCATTCGCCACGGCATGCTGGCTCGCGCTATCCATCCCCTGGTTTATCCTGGAGAAGAAACGCCCCGGCATGAGGATCCCGCCGGGCAAAAACATCGTCACCGCCGGCCTGTGGCGGCTGTGCGAGGGCTTGACACAGATCTGGCGCCTGAAACAGAGCCTCGTGTACCTCGCCGGCTACTTTCTCCTCGGGGACTCGCTTAACACCACCGTCACCGTCATTGCCACGCTGCAGAATCAGGTCGTCAGCTATAATACCCTCACGCTGACGTACCTCCTCATGGTTGGCATCGCCAGCCAGGCCCTCGGTATTGGGGGCTTCTGGCTCATCCAGAAGAAGTTCAGCTTCAGTGCCAAGACCATGTTCAGTGCTGTCACAGTCTTCATCGTCCTCCTCGATGGCTGGGGCGTGATTGGCAACTGGACCGACAGCTTCGGCTTCAAGAATGTCTGGGAGGTGTGGCTGTACCAGGCCTACTACGGACTCGTCGTATGTCCTTGGTACAGCTACTCGCAGATCATGATTAGTTCTGTGACGCCGCGCGGCCATGAATTTCTCTTCTTTTCCGTCTTCAACATCATGGGCAAGGCGTCTAGTTTTATCGGGCCCTTGATCAGCAGCGCTATTATTGACGCCTCGCCAGGCGGGCAGAATAACAGCGCTCCGTTTTATTTTTTATTTGCGCTGAGCCTCGTCGGCGCTGCATGGATATGGGCGTTTTTGGACCTGGAAAAGAGCGCGAGGGAGCAGGAGGCGTTTCTTCTGCAGGAGAAAGAGAGGGTGTACGGGGAGGCCACCTCTGCTCTTGAGGAGAAGCCGGCAGCTTAGTAGTTGTCTCGTCTGGGGTAGAACTGCGAGCAATGACCGAGATTCGGCCTCGAACTTGAGCGGTCCTTTCAATTCTCAGTGTCTCGCTATGAAGTTATCTGCTAGGTTCAAAGGACTTGTGCCAGCCAAGGCCCGCCTGTCATGCCAATCTTGGCATCTCTAATTAGTTGTTGAATTAACGGCAGGTTAGTTCTCGTTGTGTGCACCGAGGCGCAGAATGCATGGCGGAGCGCATCCAAAGCATGAACGTGATGAAATGTCCAGTCCGTCCCTGTAACGCACTTGCCAGTATCGACGACTCCAGGCTGATGCTGAGGTCACATTCTCGCTGCCACGCTCGTCCTGCAAAAGCACGAGCTCTGGACGGGCACATCCGCCACGTCCAATGCCCGTTTCAACACGGGCTTCATCTCCTCGGCGTCGACCATCCTGCCCAGTTTCAAGCAGCATTCGTGATACCCATGCAATGCCCACACGTTGTTCGGATGCCGATGCACCCTGGGCAACGTATCGTCCAAGCCCAGGTCAGCCCTGTAAATGCTCCATGCCTCCTCCACATGGCCCTGCTCGAGTAACAGCGCCCCGTAGGCATGCCGAACTGGCTGCATCCAGCCCCATGGTTCGTCGAATGGCAACCAGTCATATCGCAGTATGCCCTCGCGCAGATGTGCAAACGCAGCGTCGTAATTCCCGGAGCGGTATTCGATTTCGCCGTTTAGCAGGGCCTCTGCCACGTCTAGTATATCCACGCACTTGTTGTTGAACAGCGTCCTTGAGGGTCTGACGTGGGGGACTGCTTCGCGAAATAATCTCCGGTGAAGATTCGCGTCCTCGACGTGGTTGAGCGCAGCGTGCGCCACGCCCTTGGCGTAATGAAGCAGGGCTGTGGTGACGCAGTATAACTCCTTATCTTGGGGGAACTGCAAAGCTAGCACGTCTTGCCATTTCCCAAAACGGATGAGGGCGTGCACACGCATGGAGAGAAAGGCCTCGAGCCAGTCCGCCATGGGGGGGTCTTCCACGCGAAGAAGGTCCTCCGAGACGCTGGCCTCAAGCATGTCGACCGTTTCGAAGGCTATTTTGGACTGGCCCGAGAACATGGCCGCGTAGATGCGGAAGTGATAGTCGTGACTGCGGTAGAGGGTGTAGAAATTCATAGGACCCTCCCGTTTCAGGAACTTTTCGTCGGCAAGAATGGCAACTGTGTTGGCCGCGACGGCGCGCGGGTAGTCGCCTACCAGGATGTCGAGGTGGGAGGGCATGTGGTTGAGATGGCCCGAGTCCGGGACGAGGCCGCGCAGTTTATCTGCGGCTGCCATGCCGGCCTCGGGCGTCCCGGACATTTCCATAAGGTGGATGTAGAGATGTAAGAGGCCCGGGTGCTGATCGCCGCCTGGTTGGGCCATGGCCTTGTCCAAGACGCGCTTGATCTCAATGGTACGGGCCCCTTTTCCGGGTTCACCGGTCTTGATGTCCCATAGCTGCCAGGGAGTGAGGTTCATCATGGCATCAGCGTAAAGCGTGGCCACGTCGAGATCTCTGGGGAATTGCGATGCGACAGAAGCCATGGCATCCGCGTAGTCCCGGTTCCAGACACAATAGTCTGCCTTGGCAGGGGCATCTGTCCTCGGGTACCGAAGCTGAATGGCCTCAATCAGGGCCTTTTCCGCAGAGGTAGCATTGGCAGAGTGTGCCTTGGCCCGTTGGACGGCGCGATGGGTGCGCCGTGCAGTGGCGATGCGTTCGTTCTTGGCAAAGAGTTCCCAGGGCTTGTTGTAGTTTGGGCCCAGGGAGTAGGCTAGTCCCCAGTAGGCAATTGCGCATGAAGGATCACGGTCAATGGCCCGTTGGAAGCACTTTGCGGCCTCTTCGTGATTGAAGCCGTAACACCACACGAGGCCGCGGTTGAACCAGGTCTGGGAAACGGAGTGCTTGGTAGTGATGTGGCGATGATGGCTGCCGAGGTGGTAGTAGCCATCGTCGAGAGGCGTCCCGCTGTTTTCGTTGGACTCGGTAGGTGTTGGGCACATTGCGGCCAAGGCGGATCTGTTGTGGTTGGTCGCGATGTTGATGACCGCCTTTGGCGATGGGTTGGCCTGCGGCGAGGAAATAGTTACATATTGCGGGTGAAGAGTCGGCTCGCCTGTTTGGCCAATGGGGCTTCAAGGCGTGTGGTGGCATGTACGGCGGACACGCAAAGCAGGTACCTAGGTACTTGACTGCATGGCCAATTAGCACCAGGAGCCAGTTGCCGCCTCGGGGGCCTGGGGAATTCATCCGCCTTGACAAGGTGGGTGCCCTGTCCCGGCAGCAACAAGCAATGGGCATCATGCCCTGACCTATCATGCTCCGACCTCTGCGACATCAGTTGACGTCTGACGTGGAAGGCCTGCCCGCGGCAAACCATGCCTTGTCCATGCAAACTAGTACGGAGTAGGTAGAAAGCAAAGGAAAGTAACTGGTCGACGTCGAGAGTGGGGTGGGGGTACGGGGCAACAAGTATGGAGTACGCCGTGCCGTACTAATGAGTACCTTGGGTACCTCGGCACTTGCCAACGAGCACTCCGTCTTTTCCGACCTCGGCTCGACGTCTCGCAGACGACACGCTTTGACCGCATGCCAAATCGGCAACAAATGCGTGGTTGTATCTCTCTCAAGGCATTCGAGGCACCAATGTAGACACGTACGACCTTTTTTTGTTGAGTACAGACTCACTCGGCCCTTGGGACTCGAAAAACTGTATTCACGGAGTAGACCTGGTTGCGCATAGCTGTCGCCGGAAAATATATGCATGGCCAGACCAACCTCAAAGTCTTACCCAAAGGCTTCTCGTGATCTGTACGCAAGTCTCAACGTCATGTGCCTTGCTAACATGGGACCAGGATAACCTTCTGATGATGTCGATAGCAAAACCAAGTCTAGACAGCATGACGAGCGACTGAACTCGTTTTCCAAACGCCTGCGAGTAACAACTGTCATGATTACAAAGAAGGCCTCGAGCAAATCAAAGAAACTCGACAATATAGTTTTCGAGACTAATTTAACACACACGGCAAACGCTTCACTTACGACTTTTTGGAACAACACCGCGTCACAGCGTTATGTTGCGACATTAAATATCCCCCATCCATGGTTCATGTTGGCTGCTAAACGCGCGCCGGAGAACTTCGACAGCAAGCCGCGTTTCACATCCCACGGGTACGGATAGAAGACCTTCCGCTACAGGAGTCGCAAGATTTGGGAGAAACTCGTAGCTCGAGTGGTTGCTGCGATCTCAACAAAGCATGTAAGCGTGATGGGCGTGTAAACGTTTCCAAAGCGCACGGACACGAAGCCACGGCGTCAATGGAATAAATCGCATGTCTGAGCAGGCCTGCACCTGAGACTCAAAGACATTCCCATGGCGAATTCTCAAACCATGTTTAGGTTGCCCCGTGACGGATGCGTGCCATGCCGAGTTTTGGAACTCCGCACACAAACTGATGGGCATGGATCGCTACGCGGCATTTAAGGTTCAGCGTAAACGTTTCGGAACTTGCATCATTTACTCTTCCGCATGTTTCATGTGAACGTTCTTTTATATATTTTTTCCGTTTAAATGATCAAGTCCCCATGCGTTCGCGAGTCATTCTGCAGGTCATGGAGGCGACCTGCAGACAGGGGCGGTGCAAAAGAAACCTAGAGGAGAAGGACAGGAGGAAGAGAAGAGAAAATTTAATATGAAAAGACGACGCGTCTCCCCAAGGTTCACGCAATCAACACTCGCAGCTACTGCAGCCGCCATACTACTACGCCTGCTAGATTGTTGAAAAGCCACATCTTTTCAAGTCTTGAATCACAATGAAACAAGTCGGGCATCTAGCTCTCATTGCCATCGCGGCGTCCCTTGCAACGTCGTCACCAGTTCACATTGATCTCGGTGAGCAAGAGACTTTGGCAGACAACTTATACATATTGCTGACGCAAATGAAGGTCCTCGGAATAACTTCTCTGGAACTAATGTGACCGCTCTCAATACGACTGCACCATCTGGCGTTTCTGGATCTATTCCGCCGAGCTTTAACGGTACATCTGGCATTTCTGCATCTATTCCGCCGAGATTTAACGGTACATCTGGCATATGCGGATCTAATGTGACCGCTCTTAATACGACTGCACCATCTGGCATTTTTGGATCGATTCCGCCTAGCTTTAATGATACATCTAGCATATGTGGATCTAACGTGACTAGATTTGGTGGGCCTAGATCTAATGTGACTAGACTTGGTGAGACTAGATCTAATGTGACTAGATCTGGTATGACAGGATTCATTGTACCTGCATCTACGGTCCTCGGACCTAGTGATGCTGGATCTGATGCTGGATCTAACACTGGATCTGATGCTGGATCTAACACTGGATCTGATGTTGGATCTAACACTGGATCTGATGCTGGACCTAACGCTGGATCTGATGCTGGACCTAACACTGGATCTGATGCTGGATCTAACACTGGATCTGATGCTGGACCTAACGCTGGACCTAATGCTGGACCTAACGCTGGATCTGATGCTGGATCTAGCTCTTCTGCATCAAGCGCCAAGTCCAACCCTTCTGAATCTAGTACTGGATCTGGCATTCCCGAATCTAGTACTGGAACCAAGACTGGATCTGGATCTGATCCTCAAGTTGGTACTGGATCTAGCACTTCTGAATCTAATACTGGATCTGGCATTCCTGAATCTAGTACTGGAACCAAGACTGGATCTGGATCTGAGCCTAAAGTTGGTACTGGACCTAGCAGTCCTGGATCCAGTCCAGGATCTGATACTGGATCTAGCACTCCTGGATCCAATCCAGGATCTGATGCTGGATCTAGCACTCCTGGATCCAATCCAGGATCTGATACTGGATCTAGCACTCCTGGATCTAATCCTGGATCTGATCCTGGATCTAGCACTCCTGGATCTAGCACT